AGGAATCTGATTGCTAGAGTTTGCACATTGTAATTCTCAAAATGCCCAATTTTCTACAAAAAATTACAATACATGGGAAAAAAAAGTATGATTCATACATAGGAAAAAAATTAATAAACTGTTTACAAGGAAGCCTAGACAGTGGACTTACTAGGCAAAAACTTCAGATCAGTTTTAAGTATGCCCAAAGAGCTAATGAAAACCATGAGAACAATGCCAAAGAGAGACTATCGATAGAAATTATTAAAAGGAACCAGATAGAAACTGGAGTTGAAGCGTACAGTAACAGATGAGAAACTCACTGGAGAGGTACAAGAGCAATTTTAGTATGTGGAAGAACCAGTGAATTTAGAAGATTGGCCAATTGAGATTATTCAAGCTGAAGAGCAGAAAGAGAAGAATGGAGAATAATAAACAGCCCGAGAGTCCTATGGGGCTCTATGAAGCATAGCAATATATACATACCTAAAACTGCTTTAAAAATTATTTAATTTCAAAAACAGAAATCAATATGTAATTCCCACCGCACAAAGTGGGGAGGCTCCCTTTTTACATTTGAAAAGTAAAGGGAAAAGGAGCAAAAAGAGAAATTGACGAGCCGTATAATACAAAATAACCACAATACCAAAGGACGCAGAACTCCTTCCAACTCCGCCTTCACTGACAGCAAATCTATTTATTAAAGACTGTATTTCACTATGATGACAGCAGGGGGCACCCTTCAACTAGGAACCTTGTAGAAACACCCCAGAATTTCCATGACAAATAGAAAAAAACAGACTCAAGCTGAAGGAAACAGAAAACAAGACTCCCTCTTGAAATTGACCCTACCAGCACCCAGAGCTCTCCCCTTCCAAAAGCTACATGAAGGAAGAGTAAAGTGTAACACAACACTCTAAACTGGGAAAATTGATCTAAAACACTCAAAACTTAATTTTTTTTAAATAAAGAAAAATTCTCAGAACTCAAGCAAAAAAAAAAATTTATAGAAACGTGAGAATTAGTCTGACATAAGACTTCCCCAGAACAATATTTAGAAGAAGGCATTAATGATGCAGATTTTTAAAACTTTAAGGAAAGAAACTGCATCGAGAATTCTATTCACATTGAAGTTATTCTTTGGCATCAAGGCTATAGGAAAACTGTTTTTAAAATGCCAAAATCTCCTAAGAGTAATCATTCCAACAAAAGATGATAGGGGAAACTTTTGCAGAAGTCCTAAAGGATTGAACAAAGAACTAAGTATGTTGTGGATAATTGGAACCAGATTTCTCACTGTTGGAGAAGGAAGTAAAACTAAAAGAGGGAGAAAGCTGATGAATGAAGAAGAAGGTTAAAAATGAACACTGTGATGTTGGATTGGAGTTGAAGGTATCAATATGAACTCATGGTGTTTTGGAGATAAGACAGATTTTTAAAAATTCGACACATACACACAGATATACAGACACAGATTCACATACACACATATGTATTTCTTAGCTCTATCTACTGATGCCTAGAAACAATAGTATCTCAGTAGCAATGAGTACATCTAGCACATTTAGCACCCAGAGATCTTGGTTACTTAATACCTTTCTCCACTAAATAAACCATATTTTTGAGAGATGGCTACTTTCAAGACTAGACTGAGATGAACCCTGAATATTTTGTCCCCCAAAGTAAGAAAGTACTCAAATAATGGGGACATATCAAAATGACATGGGTGCCAGCTTGAAGTATCTCCCACGGGGCAAATCTAGGAGAATTTGAATATCTAAATAAATGATAGTAATGGATTATATTGAGTAAAAGAAGAAACCATGAACCATATTGTTTGGAGTAAATACATGAATGAATTAATAAAGAATGGGAAAGCTTTCTCACAGTAAAATCTCATTTAGTAAGCGTAGAAAGAATGATGGAATTCAAAAATCTATTTGGTAATTATATTGATAAGTGATACAAGAAAGAATCAATAGATGCTAAACCTAATGGGCTAAAAGTATGATGAGTTATAGACTACATAGTCTCACAGTACTCACAAATATATATTAATTACAATGGAAAATCTAGTAAACTTCACATGGAGAAACTTGGAAGACATCATCCTAATCAATAAAGTTAACATCCCAGTAACAGGATGAATTGAGAGTATGCATGTCCAGATACAAAGTAGTGAGAAAAACATATCACTTATGTAGTATTCCTGCCACAAAATGCATAACTTTTCTTCTAATCATGACAAAACATCCTGAAACCCTAACTGCGGAGTATTCTATTCAATAACAGGCTTATAATCTTCAAAATGCTGAGATTATGAATGACAAGTAAAGGCGGAAGAACTGTTCCTGACTCAAGGAGACTAAAGAGACATAGCAAGTGATAGAAAACGAACAACTGGAAAAATTTAAATGAGGATCTTGATTAGCTGATAATATAGTGTCAATGTTAATTTCATGAATTTGATCATTGTGCTGCCCTTGTTTTTAAGAAATGCACTGTGAAGTATTTAGGGCAAAAGGGCATTGTGTCTGTACCTTATTTTCAGATGGTTCAGAAAAACATGTATTGATGGGCATTATTAAGCAAACGTGGTAAAATGTTAATATTTGGAGAATCTGGGTAAAGAGTCTACAGATTTTGTGTAACTATTAAAACTTTCTGTAAGTCTGAAATTATGTTACAATTAAAAGTTTTAAAATACTATTTGCATATGATAACAGTATAAGTAGAAAATCTAAAACATTTTCATTTTGTGGATTAAAATTAAAAACTAAATTTACTAAGGGTACCTATTGAATACAGGGTTAATATTTTAAAAATCAATTATACTAGGTAAAAACAAATAGAAATGAAAAAAGATAATTACACTACTTATAATAGTATAAATTATATAATATTCCTAGGGATAAAGTCAACAAAAAAGATGCACAAAACTTCTACACCGAAAACTATAAAATGTCATGCAGATACGTTAAAAAAGATCTAAGTAAATGATGGGATATACCATAATAAAGGCATCACTTCTCTCTCCAAATTAATCTAAAGATTCAACACCATTCCAATAAAACTCTTTGCAAGCTTTTTTTCTGGAACATGACAAGTTGATTCTAAAATTTATATGCAAATGCAAAAGGCCAAGAATATCCAAGGAAATCTTGAAGAAGAACAAAGGTAAAGGACTTACATGAACAGACATAGAGGCCTGTTAAAAGATGATAATTAATTCAGTGTAATATAAATGCAAGCATTGAGAAATATATCAAAGGAAGAAAATAGAGACTCTATAAACAGAGCCAAACACATGCTCATCTGACTTGTGACCAAAATATGACTACAAATGCAAGGGGGATCGGGCGGTGGGGTGGGCGGGGGTGCGGGGAGGATAGTCTTTTTGAAAAATAATGGTGAGTCAATTTGTATAACATATAAGGGAAAAAAATCATCAATTCTAAATGTATTGCAGATGTAAATGTAAGGCAAGGTAATTTTCCATTAGAGCCCAATCTTAAATCTAGAAAATCTGATCCCATATCTAGTGTTCTTTTTAATAATGGTACTTTCTCTGATCCTTGAGAGATACCTTATATAGAACAAGAAGACAAAGGAAAGTTAGCAAAGAAACTAAAAGAAGCAAAGAGTAATTCAAAAGAGAATAAGAATAGTAAAATTTAAAACCTAAATAAGTGATTTCTTCTAACTGAACATATGGCCCTTTGAAGCAATGTTTTTGCTATCTGGTTACAATGAATTCTTTACCATGAATAATCTGTTATTCACATTTCCTCTAGATTCTGATTGTGAAACCCACCTTCTTTTTTTTTTTTTTTAATAGCTTTTTTTTGGTGCTGTGCATTAAAAAGTAAAAAGAAAAGAGTTGCCCTGAGCTGTGTTTGCTATGCAGACTGTCCACTAAGTTGGGAAACAGGATAAACCTACATTTGAACAGTATATTACTTATATGCCTAACAACCTGAGTCACTGGCTGTGAGCAGCCCATAGGAAGTGTTGTTGTGTAACTGAAGGGGAAAGATTTTCAGAACATAGCACCTGGAACCATAGCCAATTGTGTTCTTTACAGTAGGAGATTTGAAAGGCACATTTCTATGGTCACCATACCTCTTCTTTATTCTGTGGTTTCCTCCAGCTACCACCGAATTTGTCTGCTCTATTTTCCAGTAAAACTCTTTAAAAGAGTTGCTTTTACTCACTGCTTCTATTTTCTTATCTTGTATTCTCTCCTTAACTCAAACCAGGCTTTGTCTTGCCCCTCCACTGTCTCAATAACTGTTGTCCTATTCTTCCACAGTAGTAGACCATTTAGATGGACATGTGGCCACCTAGAATAAAGGCTGTATTTCCTTCCAGCTAGATATGGCCATAGGACCAGATCCTAGCTAAAGGAATGTAACCGGAAGTGATGAGTGCTCCTACTTCTCAGCCCTGTCCTTTTCTTCCTCTGTCTCTCACTTCCTGCTAGCTGGCATGGGAATGTGGTGGTGAGCCACCTTGATTCATGTACGTAATATTGGAAGAGCAAGAAAGGAGCCTGCATCCCTGATAATTCCATAGAGCTGCAATGTTAATTAGGTCTTTATGTGAAAAAGAAATAGGCTTCTATCTTATTTAAGCTTATTTAGGGGGTGGGGGTGATCTCTGTCTTTGGCTGTGTACTTATCTCTATCTTTGTATCCATACACATCACAGGCACATCCTGCTGATACCACCTCTGAAATATAGCTTGAATTTGACCGCTTTCCTTACCACTTAGATCCAATCTACCACCATCTTTCCCTGGATGATAAAACAGCCTCGAACTGGCCTTATTCTTGACCTATTGAGTTTATTTTATTCTTGACCTATTGAGTTTATTTTCCAATGAAAATAATTTTTTAAAAATTAGCGTTTCACCTCCTGCTTAAAATCCTCTAGTGACATTTTTCGATGCACTCCATCAAAAGACCACCAACAACACACCTAAAATAGAACATATTGGGTTTATTGCTTGTGACTGTATACCATGAGGAGCCGTAGGGTGGCTCAGTAAGACGGGTTTAGAAAGGATCTTATTATAGGATTTAGGCTCGTGTTGGTGAATTTGGGTAGTGTTTAAGGAAGCACAGTTAATTCTATGCTTAGATATATTAATAAATCTCATATAGAAGGATGGAAGATTAGAATGAGGCCAGAGCTGAAACTGATTAAAAGAATACCAGTCACTCATATTAGCCATGATAGGGAGATGTTTGATCATTTTTGTAGTTAATACAATGTTTTTTATTTTTTTCTTCTGTATTTATTCATGATTGTAGAGTGGTCTAGTTTTTATCTCTATCCATTGTGGCCACAAATTAGCCTTGTCTGATGTTAATTTTTTGAAAAATTGTTGATGTTCAATAGGAGAACACCACAGCCTACCTATAAGTGCCAGGCCAGCTCTTGACTCTCAGGGGCTGCTTGTCTCTTCATCACTTCCCAGTATACTTGATAAAATTCAAATCTACCATAGCCTCAAGGTCCTGCATGATCTAGTCCCTACCTAAATTCTCAGCTCATCTCCTACCACATAGTCACTGCATTTCCATACCACTGGTCCTTTTTTGGTTTCTTGAATGGTCCAAGTTTGTTCTCCCCTTAGGACATTTCCAGCTGTAGTTAGTTCTTTCAGGTGTCACTTCTTAAATATTACTTCCTCAAGGAGTGTTTCTCTGACACTCTCCTTGTTAACTCCCCCAAGCCACTCCTTATATCATTTTTCTATTTCGTTTTCTTTATTAAACCGTATCATGTACTTGTTGATTTTCTGCCTTCCCTGCTAGGCTACAAGATCCAGAGAGAAGGAGTCTCATCTGTGTTGTTTGCCAAGATACATTCTTAATGTCTTACCACAGTGCTTTTCACATGATGGGCTCTCAATAAATGTGGAGTAAAGAAGCTCTCAGCCTCTAGGGATGAGTGGAAGGCAAGTAAGTCAAAAATTACAGCATGCTGTGCAGATGTGCATTGGACTCTTAGGGAAGAGACACACCCAAATTATTAGATGCTTATTCCCAGAATGCAAGAGCTTATGAGGAATCAGTTTGTCCTGTCAGCCATATACTTGCTCTTGATTTCTCTAGATTGAGATTGTTCGAGGCATCCTTGAATAGCAGTTTGCTTTCTCCAGGAACACCTACTGTTTGTACTTCTGAAATGAGAGGACCCAACTGCATTGGTTTCCTATCACCCAATACAAAGCCTACGTATTGGCCAGAAAGTGTTGGCCTACTTCATTTCTAACACTTGCCGGGGGTCACAACTCAAATGTCTACAGGGACTTGGCAAGCACCTTAAATGAGTGAAGTAATTGAGTTTATTTTATTAGGGCAACTTAAGAACTCTTGACACAGACCTTGTCTTCATATCTATAAATATACGCACCCTCCCCAAGTTTCCTGAAACATATCCTCTCCATCTCTCTTGTTTTCCCACTTTTGATGGAACACGAGCTCAAGTAGTTTTTTTTTGTTTTTTGTTTTGTCTTTACCTTAAGAAAAAAACAATTGTGTAAACCTAACGATAAATGGCACTCGGGACTTGGCTTCAGCACTGGGGGGAGAAGAGGGAGTGCCGGAGACTTTGGCAAACTAGAGTGCATGCTCTGGCTAAAGAACTGCCACTAAAGTCACCTCCAGCTGATTTCTGCCTTGTGGAAATGCAGACCCTCTATTGCCAGTCCTCCATATTTATTTTGAGAAAAATTAGAAATCTAGGTGAAATCCCTTGATGGTTAATTGTTGACATTTTTTAAGTTAAACACTGTGAGAATCAAATGTGCTCGTTAAACATATAGGTCATCCTTAATATTTTGCCTTTGAACTGCTGGTGCTGGACCTCTGTTGAATGTATAGTTGTCTCTAGGTGAGGAGTCAGTGCCAATCAGACATGGATAAGACACGGGGTTGATGTCATTGTACATACATTATGAGCGTTGGCAGCTTTGCCTAGAGATTCTGGACAGAAGAGGCACTTAAAGAGTAAGAGTAGTTTATGAGAATGGGCTGCCGTGGGTGCCAAGGAGGGTTGTCTAACCAGAGGAGGAGTTGGGAGGTGGGAGTAGGGTGTTAGCAAGGAAGTCTTCCCATAACAGTTTAGCCTAGAGGGAAAAAAAGGTGTATTTGTTGGAGGAAATATGAGAGCACACAGAGATGTGATAACTTGTGGCACTTTTAGGAGACTTCAAACAGTACCACGTGGCAAGACACCACCTCTGTAACACGGCGCTGTGTGGTGTCGAGTGATCACGTGTATTTGGTGCAGGGGAGCTGGGCTGAAGAAGTGGCAGTGCAGAGGAGGCAGGAAATGAAGCTGCAGAGAGCAACTAGAATGTCGTCATGAGGAGCCTGCATGATGCTCTTAGGAGTTTAACTAGTATCCTGAAGGGTATGGAGGATGCACTAAAGAGTGTTAACCAAAGCTTTGACATCTTAGCTTTGTAGTTCAGACAGATATCCCCGGCAGCCATGCGATAGTCAATTAGCAGTAAGGTTTGAGGCTATTAATATTTCATGAAGTAAAGTAAACCCTATTGCATAGGAAAGCTTTTGATTCTCCCTCATCTCAGACCCCCAAATATACTTCTAGAGATTTGACTATTACCTTCTGGCAGACTTATTTAAATGCCTCATTATTACATATAGTTTTTGTTGTTGCTGTTGCTGCTTCCTTTAGTGTAGCTCATTATTCCTGAGCACTCAAGTCCTTCTTATCTAGAGTCTTTTTGGTCCTCTTAGGGACCTAGAGTTAGGCAAGTACAAGTTGTCGCTCCAGACTATTTGAACTGCTCAGAGCACCTATTTGCCATGACTCATAGAACCTATTTGCCATGACTCACAAGTAACACAAGAAGAGATGATGATGATGAAAATACCAAATAATACTGTGGAGGCTGCAGTTCCCAAAGGCAGCCGCATGTCAGACACCAGTGGAGGGAGGGCAGAAGACCCTTGACATTTACCTACTGATATGCCAGGACTACTTCCAGGTAGATGTCTCCCTACTTGGGGTCCAAGTGCATTCTGACTGAGAGTTAAAGAGACAACAGGGAAGAGGGCCCACCCCTGTAAACTATTGGGGACAAGCTAGCAGGCTCCATAGTAATGCCAGTGGCACCCAGTGAGGGTTTCCCAAGGCAGGAATAGGAGGATACTTCAGGGGCTTGAGACAGTGACTTTTTAGCAACTCATATGGAAATATTTCAGTAGCTAGTAATCATTACAGCCATGCTAATGAATTATAGTAAAATCTCAGACCTGAATCTATGATTCTGATAAAGACAAACCTTAAAAACTTCCCCTTCTGCAATGCCTTAAGGAAAGAAATTTCTGTGATTTACCTAAACCTGGGTCCAGATGGATTTCTTTGACCTGCGCTTGAGGCTTGGCATGGTGCTTTTCTGTGGAATGCCTTGATTTTGCAAAGGTAGTAAAATCTCCCAAGTTACCACAAACCTGCTTTGTTTATCTTTTCTAGCTTATTTCAGGAGTTTGAGGAGACCACAACTGCTTAGGCAAAGCATCTGGGAAGTAACGTGATGAAGAGATTGGAAGGAGGCAAGACCAGATGCAGGGAGTTCAAGTCCAAGTTCCAGATAAAGAGAAGCTTAACAAGGTAGGGACATGGGGGAGAGGGCAGAACCAAGAGCTGTTTTGGTCTTGATCATTTGGAGTGAAAGAGAGATTAAGATGAGGCAAGTTTCTGACCTGAATGAAATGGATGAAATAGAGGGTGACAATACCACTCACAGGCAGTCATAATAATGCTTGATGGCCAAAAAAAGGGGTCTCAGCCCTCTAGCCTTCGTTTACTTATTGTCGAAATGGAGATAATGTACCTACCTAATAGGACTAATTTGAGATTAAGTGTCATAATGCATGAAAGTGTTGGATCAAGGACTGGCATACAGTAAGTGCTCAATAAGTGTTAGCAATATTTTTTCTTCAGGAAATTGAGGTTTAGAAAGGTTAAGTCATTTGTTCTAAATGACACAGCTAGGTAAGTGATGGACTGTGGATTCTGGCACATCAGTTGGAGCACAGAGTCTGGTCACTGCACCTGTTAAATAGGATAGAAACAATCACAAGAGGGGTAGGCCTGGAGTATGGCTATAATGATGAGCCTCGTTTTAGAAACGGAGAAATTAATGTTCAAGGGGAGGAGAGGTTCAGGGGCAGTTGGACACATGGGTCTGGACCTAAGAAGAGGTCTTTGGTCAGAGAAGTTCTTGTTCCCACAGTCATCTCTTAGAGTCTGTGAAATTTGAGTCATCAGCAGTGTACTACCTAATAGCCAAGTTATCTGATCGATGTGTGTCCAAGATAATTATAAATGCTTAAAGTGGTTTTAGTGATATTTTTTATATTTGATCGTCAATCTCTCGCCAAAATTTTTCATAATGCTATAGAATCATTAAGTATAAAAAGGTTATATTTCAGAAATATAAAAACCATATCCTAATCAGTATGAAGTTTAAAGATTTCTATATTAGAAACCACTCTATTAAGAAGTTAATTAACTTTCAGTGAAAATAAATAACTTTCTAAACTTCATCTCTCTTGACTATAAGCAAATTTTCAACTCCTTTAATATATTGAGTAATTTCTTTAACATTATTTAAAAAACAGATTCCTATTTTAGATTTTATAACAAGCTGAATTAGAGAAAAGTCTTCAGTGCTCTTCAGGCTCAACCTTATTTATCTTCTGGCATTACCCACACCCTTGGTCCCTCACCGAGTACTTTACCATATTGTTGATGTGAACTTGTCTGTATGTATGTTAGAAACCTAAGAAGAAAGAACTAGCATCTCTTAGGTCACCTGGCCATGGGTTTATAAAGACAATAGAATCTATGTAGCAAGAAATGACAAGCTATGGTTATCGGCCAAATCTGACTCACTGCCTGTTTTTGTATGGATCATGAACTAAGAATAGTTTTTACATTTTTATATAATTGAAAAGGAATAAAAAGAAGAAAAAGGAGAAATATTTTATGACACATGAAAATATTATGAAATGCAAATTTCATTGTTTGTACATAAATAAAGTTTTATCGGAACACAGCCATGCTCACTTATTTACATAACTATAGTTGCTTTCATGCTGCAATGACAGAGATAATTACTTTCAACAAAGACTTTATATAGTGCTCTTACTGCTTTGCAGTGCTGTCCAGCAACCTATAAATCTCAGGGATGTGATTATAACTCCATAGTGTTTCAAGTGCCATGCATATCACACAAAATGTACAGCAATATTTTGTTTTTAATTACCAGTGCAATAGCCATCGTGTCAAAAAACAAAAAAGGGGAATAAAATATAGTGGGATCCAGATGTCACACTTTTAAGGCTCAGTGAAATATGGATTATTTTGTTATCAAATTAGGAAAACATTGTGTTTATAATGCCACGACACCACAACTGTGCTAAAAGAATACGGTACAACAGAGTAAGTACGCGTCACAACATTCCCAACTACAAGAAAACAGTGTTCAGAAAAATTAGTACATTTAAACTAAAACATCTCATCACAGCATAATTTCTTTATAAAAATAAAAAGTGAAAATAAGACTGCAACAAAGGAAGTTTCCAAGTGGCTCATTTATTAACCACACAAAGAAAGAGATTTATTGATGGTGAATTAATTAAATTATATTTGATTGTAGCAGCAGATGAAATGTGTCAGAGAAAAAAAAGTAGCTTAAGAATATTAGCCTTTTGGTGACAGTGATTTCTTGAAGAGTTGACATTGAGAGCAAACATTAATAATCAATTTAAAAACAAGGCAAATGATTTCTAATGGTTTTCCTTGACTCTTGATAAGTTGACAGATGTTACTACTACAGCTCAGGTGTTTATTTGATGAGTCAATGCTGACTTTAAAGTCAATGAAGAATTCTAAGCTTCTATGAATGGTTCATGTGAAAAAACTATGGGCAAAAATATTTTCAAAGAAAATAAGGAAATGCTAATTCAGTACAATCCGAAGTGGAATCTGCTAAGATGTGTTATAGCTGTGGCAGTAAAAATATGTGGGGAACAGAAAAAAGGCTTTGGACAAGTTTACAAAGGTTATAAAAATGTGAAGTGTTTAAAGCCTATGCTAGTTTATTGTAATAGTCATCAGAAGGTATTTTGTTGAAAATATTTGAATTTGTTATGTATTATTGAACCAACTGCATCAAAAGCGAATTTCAATTTTAGTATATGTGCTGCCAAAGCCAGCACAGTGGTGAATTTCATTAGCTCTTCTAGATTTAACCATTGTCTGTTTTGTGAACTTTTGTCAAAAATAGAAACCGAATATCTTGACTTGCTCTACCAACCACATAGCAGTTGGTTTAACAGTAATAAGTCATGTGTGACTTTTTGAGCTCAGTGTCGAGATTAAAATTTTTCTTAATGAGAACAGCCTTTGACCACTATTATTGAACACTGGATAACTTTGGAAATTAGCTTTTGCTGAAGACTTCATGATGTTTCTGAATGGATTCAACCAAAATTACAAAGCAAAACAATGGCTAAATGCAGAACACCCCATGTTAAAATCATTTTGATGACAATTAATGTTTAAACAAGTAATGTCAAGTTGCCTTAAAAACTTCCTGTGTTGTCAAAAATTAAAATAAAAAGTGAAATGGCTATTCCCATACAAATGTTCAATGAACACGTTTTCCAGGCTTACACTACAGTTCCAGCAATGTTTTTCAGACCTTAATAAAAGCACAAAAGAAATTTTTAAATTTCAAAATCCACTTAACTGTGCAATAGAGGAGTTTCCATCTAATCTTCAACTGAAAGTGATTAATCTGCAATATAATGATGTGCTAAAAGGCAAACAGCAAGAGGAGATTTAATAGGATTCTATAAATGCCTTTTGAGCAATGAAAATGCTTAATAAAATCTTATGCTCATGGATTGATATCACTATTTGACAGTACCTTCCTTTGAGAGTTTTAGCCAACTGTGAAAGCCAACTACACAGTCAGCAGACGACTATCCTCACTTTTGACACCTATTGCAAGTTTGGGGGAATCCCAAAACCACCTACAGGGTCAATATTTATTAGAAAGACTCACAGAATTCAATGAAAATTGTTATGCTCAGTTACCATTGTTACTGGGAAAGGACACAGATTTAATTCAGCAAAGGGAAGGAGTACATAGAGCAGAGTCCAGGGAAGTACCAAACATTTCTATTGTCCTCTCCACATGGAGCCAGGATGTATTACTTTCCCAGCATTGATGCATGACAATATGTATGGAGTACTGCCAGTCAGGAAAGCTCACCTAAACCTTGGTGTCCAGAGGTTTTACTGGAGCTCTTATCACATAGGCACAATTAATTGATTGATTGAATGAATGAATGACTGCCCCATGATTGATCTCAACCTCCAGGTCAACTGATATCCAATAGCCCAATGCCCCTGTGTATGTCACACTGTCGATCTGGCATGGTCAGCCCCCACCCTAAATCATATTTTTAGATTGTCCAGTGTGATTCAAGTTCCCCAAGCAAACCATGACATTCCAGAGGCCTAGATATCACCTCCCAGTGGCTGAGGATAAACACGAGACTTCTTTTGAGGGCAAGGTTCATTCTTTATTACACACCACTGTGAGAAAAGACACCGTTAAAGATAAAACATGTAAAGTTTCATTACAGAGCAGCATTATCAGATGAACATTTGCAATCAATTTTTATGAAAAGAAACACTTTCAACTGCAATGATGTGAAATGTGATCTACCCCCAAAATTTATTTTTCTCATTACTAGACCTATATCACAAATGAATATGCTCAATTATTAATATCAAAATTTGATTTTTATCAATAAAAATTGTGGAAAATTGAATTCTCTTTTATTGTATAAGTACTTTCATAAAATCCTTGATTTTACCTCTTGAACGGCAAAGACTGAAATATTTAGTCCCTGATTTTTTATAGAAAAAGTTGCCAACCTTTGATGTATAGTCCAGTTTTTAGCATTGCTGTGATGTCAACATGGTGCAACTGTAGACACTAATTATTCAATCAAACACCAATCTAGGTGCTACTTTGGAAGGATATTGTAGATATAATTAATACCTACAATCATCTATAATCAGTTGAATTTAAATAAAGGAGATTATCCTCAATAATCTGAGTAAAACTGATTCAATCAGTTGAAAGGCCTTAACTGAGCTTCCCTTAAAAAAGAAGAAATTTCATCTGTGAACAGCAGCTTCATCTTCTGCCTGAGAGTTTCCAGTCTGTGCTTCCTGCTGGCCTGCGTATGGATTTTGAACATGCCTAACTAGCTAGCCCCACATTCACATAAACCAATTCCTTCCATTAAATCTCTCTCTCTCTCTCTCGTGTGTGTGTGTGTGTGTGTGTGTGTGTGTGTGTGTGTGTCTGTACATATATGTATATATAGTATATATACTTATGTATATGTGTATACGTATTACTGGTTCTATATCTCTGATAGAATCCTGATTCAACTGCTCACTATAAAAGATAATACCCAATTTGTGCTGCTAAAAATCTGAAAAGGAAATAACTTTAGAAATTAATATTTTTCCATAGCTGCCTGTCAGATGTAATATTGCCTAATCTATCTTATTGACTCTAGTGTAAGGCAGAAAAGGAGTAATAAGAGTTATGAATAAAGAAAGAAAATTCAGGAAGACTTTAATTCAGTCTTATCACTGTGGATCAAAGAGACATTTTTGTTTCCTGATAGAAACTGTTCCTAGAGCAAAAATGAGACTTTTCCAAGAAATATCTCTATTAGCCTAGCTCTAGGACTCTTTTCCTGGGGTCACTGTTGCTGGCTGTTAGAGCGCTCTTGACTTCCTGGCATTGTTACTAAATCCTGTGCTTGTGTATTTTCAGAGAAGACCTTCTTGAGCTTTTATCAGATTTTCAAATGGGTCTCAGGCACCAAAAGGATAAAAACCGCAAATGGCCTCCCCTCCCGTGGATATTTAACTCTTGTGTGTCACCTACTGCCTGCATTGTCTTCTCTAATCTTCACAATAATCTCATGAAGTACGCACTAGTATTCTGTTTTACAGATGAGAACACCGAAGCTTAGAAAAATGAAGTCATTTGTTCTAGCTGCACGACTGATAAGCAACAGAGTCTGGATTTGAACCCACATCTGACACCAATTCTTATGCTCTGAGGTGGGAGGCAGCTCTGTTCAATCACTGGGCCCCATCATCCGGATACTTCCTGCAGTTGAGGTGGTAGCCTGGGTGGCCCCAAAGTACCTGCTTAGCCTCTGCCCATGTGCCTGGGGGGGAGACAAATTAGAGGTGGCCCCTAGCTTTTGGGGGGCCTTTTGGCCTTCTAGCGCTAGCCTTCTAATGCACTCTTGCTCATCAGGAGGGAGGAAGAGGAGCAGGGTGCCTGGAGAGGGGAGGGCGGGCCCTGAGAGAGAGTTTGAAAAGAGGAAGGAAGTGGAGTTCGGCAGAACGCCTAGCCACCCCCTAGCTGCTTCCCTGCAGGACGACGTGAGGCCCCTGGCCCAGCCATGGCTCCCTGGCGCAAAACTGACAAGGAGCGGCAAGGCGTAGGTAGGTGTGGGTATGGGGTCAGCATCAGGGAGGAGGGCAGGTGGTGGGAGAACCACACACAGGAAGATGCTGCGAGAGCTGGCAGGGCATGTTGACTCAAGGTCTGAGAGCTCAGTGGCTCCCTCACCCTCTTGTGGGGCCAGCTGGGTGGGGGAGAGGAGGCATGGGGGAGAGGAAGGTGGGCACCCCACCCAGCAGGCTAGGCCCAGCCCGCACCATCTTCCCCACTTCCACAGGCTGCCCTCTCTCCATAACGCTTATGCATTTCCCAGACAGGGTCCAGCCCTGTGCTTGGCAACTCGGTGCTCTGTGCCAGATTCAGAGACTCTGCGGCCGTATCTGGAGACCTGGCCTTCCAGGGGGAGCACTGCTCTCTTTCTAGGCCTGCCCTTGCCTGGCCCAGCATGCTTCCCTCTACCTCTTTCCAAAGTGACACCTATCTGTTTGCCTCCCCTGCCTGTTCCTCCTGAGTCAGGTGACCTCTGATTTGGTGGAGTATAGTTCCAGAGGGCTGTTCAGGATTGGAGTAGAGCTCGGCCTTGGAGAGCCTCTTGGGGAGAAAGGCTTTTGCCAGGTTATCTGGAGTTATCCAAGAAGCCAGCCTCATCAGCTTCAGCCATCTAAGCTCCCAGAGGCCTCTGCCTCAAGCTCAGGGGCGGAAGTGGTGGCTGGGGGAAGGGTAACTTCAGGTACTGGGACTCTTCTAAGTGGCATCCGTGGTGCAATCCCCATTGACTCACTCCAGTTTTCAAACTTAAGTGTGAATTTTAAAACTGCTCTATGGCTTGCTACACAGGCAGATACCAGACACTACCCCCGGAGATGAGGGTTGACAGGTTAGATGTTGGAGAACCCAGTGCCAGGAACGATTAAATGCAGGAGGTTTCTAGGCCACTGCTGGAGGAACACTGCACTGGACAGCTCAACATTTATTTGTTAACTTACTGGACACTAGGCACTGTTTTAAGCTAAATGGTCTTCATCCATAGAATAAATAATCCAAACCCTCAAAAGGGCTCAATCTCTCCATATATAAAATGAGAAGTTTGAATTAGATTCAATAAGGATCATTTTTAACTTCAAAGCTTCTCTAACTCTAGCCCTTCCAGCTGGGAGTATCAGGCTGACACTCTTCTCAGGGGAAGATGGGGACTATTAAATGGGGTGGGCCATTGTTGGTGGAGGGACCAATGTGGCCTAGGATGTGAAAACTGGACACAAAGGCATATCTAGGAAAGAAGAGCAGTCCCTCCTGGGGGGGAGTGCATTGAAGGGAATGATTATGCTCAAATGAGTTGAGCCACATTTTGGAAGGCTATGAATACCAGGCTATGAATACCAGGCTAAAAAGCGGAGACTTTTTCCACTTAGGCAGTGGGGAACCACAGAGGGCTTCTGAGCAATGGAGGGGCATGAACAGATTTGTGCTGAAGCCAGTATGGAGGGAGGCTAGGTGGACAGAACGAGGGTGCCTGGTTGGTAGACAAGGGACAGTATTAGTGGTCCAGGGTAACCTCGGAAGTTAGTGAGGAGACTGAGTGTGGTGGAAGAGCCCACCCTTTGTCCCAAGGGCTGCAGTACATTCCTGTTGTGTAGACATTGTGCCGTGGGGTGAAGATCATGAGCTCTGGTGCCAGACTGCATGATCTTGGATCCCAGCCTCCAACACTTCCCAGCCCTGTGACCTAGATGCGTTACTTACTCTCTCCAGGCCTCAGTTTCCTTGTCTGTATAATGGGGATAATAATAACACCTGTTTCCCAGAGCTGTGAGAGTACTAAATGAGTTAATCCACATAAAATGCCAAGAATGACAGTTGCACAAGTAATCCTCACTAAATGTTATGAATGATTATTTTTGGATTTTGCTACATGGGAGCTCGTTTGAGATATAACATCACAGGATGGGATAGGACTGTAGGGTGGAGTAGGGTTCTCACCCTCCCTAGCAGAGGAAATCTCACCTACGTGCTCAGGGTCTGGGAACTCTTAGGCCCTAGGCCTGGAGGCTTCTTGATCTGATGGCATAGATATTTTTTATGCCTACTTTTAGAATTTCTATTTTATGGGGATCACAAGGTCTATGACCCTCTAGGGAGCTAGAGAGCACTTGGTAGGTGCCTGCTCATCAAAGAGGATATCTTTTCTCTGCAGGTAAATGTCAGAACTAAGGAAAATAACCTCTAACCCTCATCTGCAGGCTCTGGGTAGATAGAAGGAAAAGGCAAGGCTTAGGTTATGATGAGATGAGTGACTGGAGTCATCCAACAGAAAGAACAGTGGCCTGAGAGTAAGGAGTTCAGATTTGAGCTCTGACATCCCTGTTCGCAGAAAGATCTGTGCTCTGATTTTCTGATTGTAAATCTAAGCTATTAATACTTTTCTATTTCAAAGTGTTCTTTTATGAAGAGCATTTGAGATAATGAATATGGGAACCTGGAGGAAGACAAAGAGCTAGAGCCATGGAAAGGATTATGGGATTCTTGAAATATCTCTGGAGTCCCAGGCCTAACACAAGGAGAACCTGAGGTTTGCTTTCCCATTTGGTATCCTCTTCAGTGCCGGTAGCATTTGGCCATTCTTCCTCTGGCCTAATTATTGAGGGCTGCTGGTATCTGTCTGGGAGGCTGGCTCTACAGGAGGTCGCTTCATCACCAGAACCTCTTAGCTTCTTGCTCACTATTGGGCAGGCAGGGTGACCTTCATATAGATCCCTGGCCAGGTTATTTTTCCTTTCTTGATGGAGCCTTAACCTGTGATCTTTTAGAGTTTCAGAGAGGACCCTTTGCTAGCAGTGGGTAGGAGTTCCAATGGACAAGACAGTATGACTGAGTAAGAAAAGGCATAGCCTCTGCCCTTGAAGAGCTCAGTCACTAACTTGCATTTGCCACTTCTTATAGCCTATTGACTAAAACCTAATCACATGACTGAACCTAGCAGTAAGGGAAGCTAAAAAATGTAGTGCGTATTGTAGGCAGCTATGCACCCAACTAAAAATTAAGTGTGCCATTCCTAAGGAAGGAGGGAAGAAGGATATTGGGGATGATATGTTAGTTTGCTCAGGCTGCCATAACAAAATACCACAGACTGGATGGCTTAAACAACAGAAATTTATTTTCTCCCAGTTCTGGAGGCTGGAACTCCAAGAACAAGTTGCCAGTAGATTGGTTTCCTCTGAGGCCTCCTTGGCTTGCAGACAGCCACCTTCTCACTACTTTGCCCTTGCATGGTCATCCCTCTGTGCATGCTCACCCCTGGTGTATTTACCTTGACAGCTTCATGTTAATGTAATCATATCCTTAAAGACCCAATCTCCAAATGTGGTTACATTCTGATGTCCTGGGGCTTGGGATTTCAACACATGAATTTGTGGCAGAAGGGAGGACAACAGTTGTGTTCATAACAGATGACCTGCAGTCTGTGACATAATATTTAGTGACTGAAAAAGAAGGCTTCAAGGTAGGGATTCTCTGTTAGCGAGTGAAGGTAGAAAAAAGACTTGTTTGCTCCGAAGTTGGGCCTGACAGGTAGATTTGTATGGGACTTCAGTTAGGCCGAGAAGCCTATTCTCTATGCAGTTGTCTCTAGTTACGATTGCATACCTGTGCGTGGTGTTAGGGAGTATTGGTTGGTTTCTTCTGAGGTCTGTGAGGGAACATCTCTTCCCTGCCTCTCCCCTAGTTTGCAGTAGTTTGCAGAAATCGTTAGTGTCCCTTGGCTTGTAGAGGTATCACCCCAATCTCTTCCTTCATCTTCACATATCATTTTCTCTGTGTGTGTGTGTCCCTTTCCAAATTTTCCCATTCAGTGAAGACACCACCCTAATGATCTCGTTTTAACTTGAAGACCTCTATAAAGAATCTGTCTCCAAGTAAGGCCACATTCTAAGGTACTGGGAGTTAGGACTCTAATGCATCTTTTGTTTGGGGGAAGGGGCAAAATTCAAACAGCTATAGACTTTGCAAAAATAGAGAAGGGTTTTTTTCCACATCTTGATTGGAGAATACAGATGAATCTGAGGCCACCCCCTGGTCTAGGGTTGTGGATGATACTGTTGCAGCCCAGGACCCTGGACAGAGCTAGTCCATGCCAAGATGGACAGATATGGAATAGGCAATGGGTGTTTGAGTTCCTTGTAGAATGGGCTCTTATTATGAGGAAAAAAAAATCTACTCAAACTAATTCAGTAAAAAGGTATGTGGTATGTATGTGTATATAGAAGTGGTGTATTTTAAGGGTCATGGGAAGTCAAACAGAAGTTCAGGAAACATGAGTGGCAGGCCTCTGGAAGGGCCGGGACCGAGGCTGCCCTGGAAACCTCTGCTTCTCTTTCCATAGCTTTCCAAACATTCTGAACATGTCACTTTCCTCCTCCTTTCTCTCACCAATTCCTAATCCCATTGCTCCTCCCTAACTTCAATTTTCTGGTAACACCATGGTGGTGGGCCCAGCATGCCACCTGTGCCAGTTCTGCAAGACTTTACATTTCACACATCCACCGAATCTTCTCTTTATTGATTTATCAAAGTCTTGAAAGAGAAGATCCGACTGACTTACGCTTTCAAGAAAGACCACTCAAGTCAGAGGTCATGGCCAGACTAAGAATAGGCTGCTACTGCCTGGTCCAATGCACTGTGACTATGTGGTCGGGTGAGGTCACAAGACTTGCTACTCATCTATCAGGAGCCATGAGTAGGGACAGATTTGAGTAGGAGGCTTGAATGGAACACGTATCCCAAATACACCAGGGCAGAACTCCACTACTGATGGACCAGTTTCTACAACTCTTAAGGAGAAGAGATAGAAAGCATCATTCACTCACTAACTCATTCACTCATTTTTTTCTTCATTTATTTCTTAAATATTTGCTGGGAATTTCCTACGTGTTAAGCCCTACGCTAGACACTAAGATAACTATAATTAGGCAAATATGGGTTCCTGACATTTTGGAGCTCAGAGTCTAGTGGAGAAGACAAAAAAGAACTTCATGGACAATTCAAT